GAGCTGATGCAGAACGGAGACTGGACCTTCCAGATCCTGGTGATGCTGGAAATGACCCCCCGGAGCGGGGACGTCTACACCTGCCAGGTGGAGCACAGCAGCCTGCCGGGCCCCGTCACCGTGCTCTGGGGTAAGGAACTGGGATCCTGGGGCAGCCCCTGAGATCTTGGAGGGGACGGGTCTCCCTTTGTGCAGCCCCACAAGGGCTGTCCAGGGTCAGACCCCTTTCCCACAGCGGGCAGGGGTGTGAGCAGGGGGTGGGAACACAGACTGAGCCCTTCACCTCCGGCTCCTGTCTCCACAGAGGCGCAGTCAGACTCGGCCAGGAGCAAGATGCTGTCGGGGGTCGGGGGCTTCGTGCTGGGGATGATCTTCCTGATGCTGGGACTCCTCGTCTACCTGAGGAACAAGAAAGGTGAGTGGGGCACGGCTGGGATGCTGGAACCAAGGCATCATGGGGGTAATATGCTCAAGCTTTAGGTCTGTCTGCAGGCTCCCCTCCCTCTCACACCCCAGCATGAGCTGCCCTGGAGTCTGGCAGGGGCCTCCCCGTTTCTCACCTCCTGGGGCTGGGGATGGATCCCACTGTCCCTCCCTCCTCTAAGGGGCAGGGCAGAGCAGGGGTCATGGGTGCCTTGACTCTGGCCATTTCCTCTCCTCTGCTTCAAGGCAGTGACCCTTGGTTCGGAGGTGCCGGTCCCAAGGGGGTGGGGGCACCTGAGTGTACCCCACTGTGGGACTTCATGGGGATGAGGTATCAGGGGGGCTTTCTCCCCCTAACCTCTCTCCTCTGTCCTGTTGCTCATGTGCTGGCACAGACCAGGGTTTTCCCCTGGCAAAACTTATTGTCTCAGCAGACCCAAATTTCAGCTGCCCTTGTCTCTGACCTTGCTGCTCCAGCAGAGGAAACTTTGGCAGCTGGTGGGGCAGACTGATTTTGTTCAGTGCAATGTAATGTAGATCCTCAGCCCTGCAGGTGTGAAAGGCCTGCAGGTGTCAGTTGTCCTGGTCTCACCCTTAGCCCAGACAGTCAGGGAGGACTGTGGGACAGGGGAAGGATTGTCGCGCCTACAAGAGACCCAGGGAGAAAATGTCCCCCTGTGCTGTGAATGATCGAGGGGAGAATAACAGACCTTTCCTGGAGGCAGGAGATGAGGAGCAGCAGCAGAAAGGGGAAAGCACTGCTCATGGCTCTGTTCTCTGTGAGGCCCATGTAGCTTTTTTGCCTACCTAGGAACTAGTGGAAGCTGCTCTTGCCATGTTTTTCACATATAATGCTCACTGCAATTTCCAGCAGGTGGGGTTTTTGTTTGCTTTTTTTTCTTTTTTGAGGAATAGTGTCTGTGGTAGGAGCGGATAGTATATTTTCTCTTTCTTCCATGCTTATCAGAATCAGTTTCCTTATTGATGACACCCCTCACCACCTCCTTTTCCCCTAAATTTTCAATTACTGTTTTTGGCAGAGAACAAAAAATAGCAAGGGATCCTCCAAAATGTGCACAGCCGTGGTCTGGTCTAGGGCTGTTCCTGACCCTTGATTCTGCCCGTATCTCCCTGCCTGTCCTCGGTCATGTAGTGAAGATACAGACACAGCTTCCTAGCTGATACTGTGGCTCACACAAGTCTGACCCTGGTTGAATTCATCCTCCCTGAATGTTGTCTGGAAATATAGACCAAAGCACAGAATAATGAATCCAGTTCAGGGAAATACCTACACGTACACAAAGTTAATCCCTATATCCAGCCCTGTGTGGGTGAGACCGTCATTTGGGTTTTTAATGGGGAAATCAGGGGTACCTAATGGAGTCTGCCCCATGCCTCAGGGCTAGGGCAGGACCTCTTATCTCACAGGAAGGAGCTGACCCTGCTCAGACTCTCACCATGTTTCTCCTTGTTTTCCAGGCCGCCCCGTTCCCCAGCCAACAGGTAATTTCCATCTCAGTCTACCCCTATAAAGACCTTCTCCCTCTCAGGGACCACAGGCTGTACAGGGTGTCCATGGAGCGGCTGCCCCTGCCCTTTCACCCCAACACTTGCCCAGCCCAGCATGGGTGGGAGCTGGAACATGGAGCATTTGCAGTGAGGAAGAGAAGGAGCCTCCATCTCCCTCATTAGTGCCATTTGGGCCAAACCTAGAGCTACTCCCAGGGTCAGAGCATCCTGGGCCCTGCAAAAGCATTTCCCCACCCAGAGGCTCCAGACACACCTCTAGGGAGGCCCTGGTGCCTGTCAGATCCCCCCCGTGGCCCTTCTCCAGTGCCGCTAGTCCCTGCCCTGTGCTGATGTCTCCCCTCTCTCCCTGCAGGGCTCCTCAGTTAGATCCTGCAGCTTCGGGGCCTGCATTGCCCAGCGTGATTCTCCAGCCCCGTCTCCTGGCACCTGTCCCTGTATCTGGAGCTCTTCTCACTTTCCCTCCATCCTCACCTGGATCCCTGGGGCTGACTCCTCAGAATTAGCCCTTTATCTGCCTAAGTCTGCACCACATCTGCACTCAGAAATGCTACTGGTTCTTGGGGGACCTTCAGGGGACTCATATCTGAGAAACAGGAAGCTGTAACAAAGCCGTTTGCTGCACTTGTAACAGCCCTCTGGAATGAGATACCTCTGGGGCCCAATTGAGATCTGGTAAGACTGCCCTGGGTCCCAGGGTGTCCTCTGGGGCTGTTGGATAGAAGCAGGTGTGGGTTGAGTCAGGTGCATTGAAACATGTGCTGGAGCTTGTGCTATTGTAATTGCTTCCACTACTGCTCTGGATCAATCCTTGGGGACTGGGAAAGAGCAGGTTTCTGTCCTGCTGCGGGGTGATGGTGTTTCTGACCAATAAATTGTCTCACCAGTGTCTGCAGTGTGTTGAGTTGTCCCTTTTCAGAGGTCCATTTCCCTGAAGCTGCATTTGCAAATCCACATGGGTTTACAGCCCACACGGGGGCACTGGGGGCAGCCTAAGGCTGGCAGTGTGCAAGGGTGGGGGGTAGCAAAGCATGGGCTCCAGGAGGATGGGGGGACAGGGGGGAGTTGGGGACAGCTCCCCACCCACTCCCCAGAACAGCTCCAATCCTTGTGTCCTCAGCTCCCCATCCACCCCTTGGAGCTTGGGACTAACCTGTGCCACCCTGCTGCTTGGGTTGGCTCAGAGCAATTTGTTCCCAGTCTACATGTCTACATACACACTTTGCTGCATTAGTTTATTGTGCTATTTTCTAGTACCATTATCTACTGGTACTAAACATGGTGCATTAAACTAATCTGCTGTGCAGTAATTCCTACAAACATGTAGACTGTGATGTTTTAATATACATTAGATTAGTCTAATGCCCAGTAAAGTAGCATATGTAGATGCACCCTGGGATTGCAAAATTCCCTTTCCTATTCATAAAAACAATGGGACTGGGGACAGCGGCTGGAAGTCCCACCTCATGCCCTTGGGCATCTCCCACATCCAGAATGCTTTTCTTCTGAGCCCAAGGGCTGACTGTCATATGGAGGAGTCTTGTTGGGAAAAGAGGACTTCCCTTGGCTCATCCCCACCTGATGTCTGATGTGGTTCTGTTGCCTTGTGGGGTCAGGCCAACTCTCAGGATCTCAATATTGTGCTGTTAGACAGGAGGGTGTGACACATTTGCACATATACAAACACACAAATCAGTTAGGTGCATACACACGCACACTACCAGTTCAGGCACATACACATTCAAACCAGCCTAGGAACATGCATGCCTATCACCAATTCAAGCACATACACCATACACCCCAAAAGTTAAGCACAGATCATTAATTTGTATATCATGCACACAAAGCCATATATATATATATATATATACACACACACACACACTCACACTAGCAACTCAGATACACACACGTTCAAAACAACTAGTTTAAGTGCATGCACATCCATCACCAGTTTAAGCCCATACATGCCACACACACCAAATTTAGATGGAATCAGTTACTAGTTACCAACACCTGCACATCCAATACACATGCAGGGATTACTAATTCATATACCACACATACAATGATATCTATATATGTGTATTCACTAATTCACACACATACCACAAGTGAGTTCCTAAGTTGGGTGTTGTGATGTGTATGTATGTATATGCTTGGCATACTTGGGATACCTGGGGAAAGGTTAAGGTAAGAAAATAGAAGTGTAGGGGGAGTAGGATTAGAACCAGTAGACTACAGGGCCTGGGCTGAAGAACTGAGGCTCGGGGGTAACTTTAGGTTAATTGATCTTAACTGATTAAAAGTCAACGCTCAAAGCCTGCAGAACAGGGAAGCAACGCCAACACAGAGGCTGGGACTGGAGCCAGACCTACGGGGGAACTGAAAAGGTAGGTGAGGAGAGGGAAAATAGGACTAAGGGAAAGTGTGGGTGTTAAAGAGGGGCTCTGGATGTGGGGAGCCAGAGAAGTTACAGGGAGTGACAGTAGGTGCTGAGAGCTAGAGAAAATTGCAGGACAGCCACAAGGGGCTGGGAAGCTGCAGGGGTGGGGGGAAGCCTGAAAACAGAGAGGCAGACAGCAGAAAGTCACAGGAAAAAAGTGACAGGAGAGACTGAAAGGCAGTAGGGACAACAGGAAAGCAGAGAAAGTCAGCAGAAAGTCACAGGGAAAAGGCAGTGGGAATTGAGAGGAGATCAGGAAACTGGTGGAGAGGGGTGGGGGCTGGAGCTGAGAGAGAATGAAGATGGAATTTAAGATAAGGGACTGGGATTTTGTAAAACATGACCCAACTCAGGGTTACAAATGACAGTGGTTTTATTGAACAGGGGAGATGGTGACACAGTGACCACTGAAATCCAAGAGGAGAGAAATAGAGTCCAAATTGTAGGAGGAGGTTGTGCAGGTAATATCTACCTATTCAGGATGGAAGGGGGTCCTTGTCCAGTAGGTGTTGTCCAGAGTGGGGTCGTCAGCAGGGACTGTGCGTGGCTAGATAGCGTGGCATGGTGCTGGTCCAGATGGAGACGGCAACCCACTGGGTCCATCTTCACTGCCCCCTTTTAATAGGAGCAGACCTTGTGTGACCCTAGCGACAGGAGGCATGCCCAGGCAAGGGTCAGCCCCTGGCATACTAAGCATTTGTGCTCTATGCAGGGATGTGCAGTTTTGGGTGTCTGTAATGGTGAGAGTTGCTGGTCTTGCAGGGTGTTTTGTCTTTCAGATGCTGGTCTTGTCTCTGTTCCTGGGTGAAGTCCGTGGTTCCTGGGTGAATCAATGCGAGGTGATGGCCCAGTCATTACAGGCCACTCAGTAGAAGCCTGCTACCATTATATTCCAATCATTCTCATTCATCAGGGAACCAATTTACATGGGAGGGGTACAATGAATCATATTATTGCAACATGGGATGCCCAGGCAGAGGACACAAGATGGAGGCTTGACATATAAAATGGAAACTTGACATGACTTTGATTCACTTACAAACACAGGCCTAAACCATACAATATCCATATGAAACAATAAAGATCAATACCAAAATTATAACAATATAATATACAACAGCAAGAATCAATACAAACCTAATAATAATACAATATAAAACAGTGGATATCCAAAACCAAAAACTTGCTAGCAAAATAAAAATGTTTACAGCTTATCCTAAGTCTGAGCTCACTTATACTTATCTATAGGGAATAGAGAAGGAGAGAAAAGTCAGAAATGGTTGGGGAAGGGGAGGGAATGCATTTAAAAATAAATAAATAAATAAAAAAGGAACTGGGGGTTTTGCTACAGTTCCATAATCCAGTGTCCTGGAATCTCACTCTGTAGCTCTTTGGCATGCCATTCTTCATGTGGATTTTTTGGGATGTTCCTGAGTAGCTGAACATGCTTAACTTCTGGTCTGTTGGCTCAGGGGATGCTTCAGGGTTTATTATGCTACGTACCCACCAAGTGGGAAGCCGGTTAGCAAGATTGATACATGAGTGGGGTATGCAGTTTGTGTAACTACGGCCACCTTGAAACAGGGCCCTCTCAGTAAAGCCGCCTTTCTCTCCGGGCTCATCATGCCCGCACTGGGGCTTCTCAGTTGCCTCTCTCTGGGGCTGGGGTCTGTGCACCCCGAATGCTGCACCCTTGCTGTGGGCCCCTATGAGGCCTCCTCCAACCCCTAATAGCCTCACCCAAACCACCGGTAACAAACAGCAACATAAACACAAGCCCCTGGCTATAAAACAAACAGAAGCTGTCCGGCTATAATCACACTCAAGCCTACCGGGGTTTCTTCCTCTTCCCTCCTCTCACCAAGAGCTCCTTCCTCCTTGACTACTGGTAGGGAACTGCCTCTGAGCTCAGCCTCTGTGATTTATATAGGAGTCAAGTCCTGACCCTTCTTGTCAGCTGGTTAGGCAGGTGTGAGTCATTAGCTCCCTCTAGTTGCCTCAGCAACCGGCACCTGAGGAGTTATTCTGGCTCTCTCAGTAGCAGGCACCTTAGTGCCCTGCTACATCCCCCCACTGTGCAGTTGTTACTGTGCCATCAGTTAGTACTTGCTTTAGGAAATACTAAATAATGGCACAGTAGCAGCTGTTACTGCGACATCCCAGACGTGCATGGAACTTTTTAGCAGCTATGTCATTCTAGTGATGTGCTATAGCAAGGTTGCTTGTCCCTACAGTGATGTTGCATTAGCATCACTGTTTGTGCTTGCCAACACTACGTCCCCATAGTGACAAGCTATGTCACCGTAGCACATAACTGCAGTGCTACAGTATCACATGTAGATGTTCCCTTTCAGAACAGCCCAGCTCCTTCCTCTTTGGAACCACCCTTCAGGGAGTTCAAGGCTGCTATTGAATCCCCACTACATGCCAGTCTTCTCTTCTTCTCCTGTCTAATTTGTAGCACTTTTGTTGTGTTTGTATGGCTGCAGAGGTAACACCTGTCTTGGAACAGCTCATATATTTCCTTTGATTGTAATAGTTGTTGCATCTGCCTGTGCTCACTGTTTCCCCTCTGGGGCAGAATCTTTTAGAAGGACTCAAAAGATCAAACCAATGCAACTCAGTTCTCAAAATAGATTTTTGAAAGCTAGAAGGACCCAAAACAGTTAACAAGAATTCAAATGCTCCAGCAACTGGATTGGAACAAACTCAGGGGCGGGGGGTGGTGTACTGCATGTGTACCCATATTACCAATTTTGCTTGCAACAACTAGATCCATAAAATGTTCCATATGTCCTTCAAGCCTGAAAACTGTTTTGTTATCTTATTTTGAGCAAGGTATTATGGAAAGCAAGTTCAAATAGTCCTTGTACTCACCAGACTCCAATAAAGAATGCACATGTGCTGGGCATCTATAAGAGCATTGATAGGTCCCATTTTCTCTGATATGTCCCCATAGACAGTACCAAAGTGGGATATATAATGCAAGTAACAACTGTGCCTAATGGGAAAAGGACCATGGTTGATGTTCTTTCAACTTTTGTTTAAGTATGAATATGAAGCATTCTGGAAAAATGAAGGTACTCTCCCCAATATCCCGGATGCGGGCCCCAAGGAGGCAGCAGACCGCTTGGGCTAGGGGGTCCAGGCAGCAGATGGGTCTCTCAGTGCCCCGCAGGAGGGAGTCCCCCACCCTGTGTCTCCTCCTAGGGGTGGTAGTTCACCGACTACTCACCTCCTCCTCTGATGTCTCCACTGGAGACTCCTCATGCATGGTGAGGGGAGCATACCTGTTGTGCAGTGCCAGGGGAGTAGCCCTAGCCCTGTATGGCCTGGAGCCTGAGATGACCATCTTCCATTTAGCTCTGGGTGGGTCCTGGTGTCCAGCCTTCTTGATGGCCACCTTCTCCTCCATCGTCTTCTCTACTTCTTCCTTC